CTACTAAGTTATATACAGATCCTGTATCTTTTGTCTTCTTTAACATTGGTACCAAGGGCCTTACATCTCACAGCTTTCTTAAAAGTATAGAATTTCAGTTACAGCAAAAGGTCACATCTTTGCTTTAATCAGAATAATTATGTATGCTGAATTTGCTACCCTTGTTAACCTAGTAAAAGCAAATTGTTTTAATAATTGTTTAAGTAAATTGCTTGTAATTTCTGCTAGGAAATGGAAAGTTTGTTGACCTCTCGTGATAAGCATGAATTGTATTTAAATACAGCCAAAGATAATTTACCTGGACTTGTTCTACATTAACTGTACTTCTGGCATTTAGCAATCTCAATATGAAGAGTATGACTTCAAAAAAATCTTCTAAATACCGTATATTACTTATCTTTCTGTTCACTATTTCATAAAAGAGCACTTGGATACTGAGGAAAAGGGATAAATTTCCATTTGGTAGGACTGTCCTGATGAATGCAAAAAATCTAGCAGTCAAGGTCATGCACTCTAAATGCCTGCACCAGAAACAATCAAAACACTGACTACACATACAGTAGAACCTCAGTAAGGTCTACTTAAGGGGACTTAAATAATGTCCCATCCAAGGGACTGTAACAAACTGGTCAACATACAGAGGTGGTTAAGGAACTAGGTCTACAGTACTGATAAGGACATGTGATGCATTTCCAGTCTGGAAATGAGGTCAACTTATAGAGGTGGTCAACGTAGGAGATCATCAACTATTGAGGTTCTACTGTATTTCCAAATGTCCTTAAAGAGAAAACTGGAGGGAGAATAGCATAAAGCCCCGCTTATATACTTATATAGTATATATATATGTGTGTACATACATATACATAGTTTATATAGTTCTTTAGTTTATATATAGTATATCTATGTGTGTGTGCATATATATATATATAAAGGGAGAGAAAGTGTTTTTGTGGAAGAAAACACACACTCTCTTATCTACAACTGCAATTCAACCCTCTAAAACTAGTTGTTAGCCACCAAAATCAGTTGCAAACAACCAGTCATCCAGCCCGTATATAGTGCTACCACTGAACACCAACTCTAACAAATCATTCTTCAACTATAACAGTTTAATTTTTCCAATGAATGACTACTTTAAACTCCGTTTAGAACAAGTCCTTTGTTGAAAATGCTTCTGTTGAAACTCCCAAATAAGCAACTTTTTATTATACAGTACTTATCTTAGTCATGAAAGACATAAATCACAGTTTGCTACAATGATTTGTCTAATTTCCTCCCCAGACTGTAAATTCCTTGAAGCCAGGGACACAGTCACGGTTGCCTAGGCCATGTATGTAGAAGTGGTGAGAAGTGGTGAATGACTGACTTCTAACCCAGCCTAATACAATAACTAGCGTAAGAGGTTCCAACTATACCCAATTTTTTATATATAGTAAATTTAGCAATGATCCTGAAACAAATAAATATAAGAAATTACTGGTGGTTATCCTATATTCTATACTAAGCCAATTTTAAGAAAATTAATGAGTTGACTATATTATCCATATGAACACTATCTTTTTAAAAATATATACAAAAATTTAAGAATTGGGCATGGTGATGCATACCTGTAGTCCTAGCTCTCACAGAAGACTGAGGCAGGATCACTTGAGCCCCTGAGATTGAGGCTGTAGATCACTATGATGCCACCTGTTAACAGCCACTGTACCCTAGAACTGAGCAACACGGCAAGACCCCATCACAAAAAGATAAAATTTAAGATTTATGACAGGCACGCTAATATGCTCATCTTCTACCCTTCCCTCCTCCCACTTAAGCCTTAAGAAAGTTCTTGTTTAAATGTGTAAAAGTGAGGTTTCCAGAAGTGGCCCAATAGAGCAAAACAACATCATTAACGATAAAAACATACTTAGTGCCTTTCATTTCTATTTTACTTCTCAGAACTCAAAAAATCTCTTACTTTACACTACATTCCAATAGAAAAATCTATCAACGTGGGCTCGTAGACAACTTCTATTTTTGTAGGCTTCACTACATCTTCCAGAAACTCATCTTTTGCTGAAGTAAAAATTCAGAGTATAAATTAATTCCTTTTATTAAAGTAATACAACACAAGATGACTACACAAACACTGAACATTAACACTAACAGAATATTAACTCTAATAAACATTTATTTGTCTTTGCCTTTTTCGTTGTTTTGAGACAGGGGCTCACTGTCACCCTGGGTAGAGAGCCGTGGAGTGCTGGCTCACAGCAACCTCAAAACGGCTGGGTTCAAGACATCCTCCTACTTCAACCTTCCAAGTGGCTGGGGACTATGGGCACACCACCACACTGCCTGGCTAGTTTTTCTATTTTGTAGTAGAGACTGGGGGTCTCACTCATGGCTCAGGCTGGTCTCCAATGCCTGAGCTCAAGGGATTTACCTGCCTCAGCCAGCCAGAAAGCTAAGATTACAGGTATGCGCCACCACACTGGGGTCATCTTTGCCTCTTGAAGCATGTGACTATCCCAGAGTTAGGGGAAAAGTTGAAATAGAAAAAGTTATATGACAATGTTCAGGTTGGAAACCAAGACAATTTCTAGCCCCTCATATTAGTAACAATATATTTAGATTGTTTCAATAAATTCTCTAATTGTTAACCTCCCAACTTCCTAACAGAGTAACAATGGCTAAGGTACAATTTTAAATAAACAATTGTTTCAAGTTACCTTCCATTTCACTGATAACACTAACATAAATCAGTTACATTTAAAAAAAAAAAAATCCAAGGCAGTGCCTGTGGCTCAAAGGAGTAGGGTGCCGGCTCCATATACCAAAGGTGGCGGGTTCAAACCCAGCCCCGGCCAAAAACAAAAAACAAAAAAACCCAGAAAATGTGTTAGAAGGAATCGAACACCAGATACAGCTGTACCTATTCAAATAGTGGAAATCATTTTTAAGTGCATTTAAATTACTGTAGAATCACAGTGCATTAAATATTTTATAATTTTTTAAATCTACAAACCCAGCATTTGTTTCATTACTTTTTGTTGTTGTTTGTTTTTTGAGACAGTCTCACTTTGTTGCCTTCGGTAGAGTGCCATGGAGTCACAGCTCACAGCAACCTCAAACTCTTGGGCTCAAGTGGTTCTCTTGCCTCAGTCTCCAGAGTGGCCGGGACTACAGGCACCTGCCACAATACCCGGCTATTTTTAGATACGAGGTGCTCTCTGGCTAAGGATTGTCTTGAATCTGTGAGCTCAGGCAATCCACCTGTCTCGGCCTCCCATAGTGCTGGGATTACAGGTGCCAGCCACCACACCCTGCCCAGTTTCATTACTGTTTGATATTTTTGTCAGTAGCTCAAGTCAATGAAGACAATTTACTTGTGCTAAGACACTTTACGATTTTAAAGAGCTGTTTGAGCTACTTAAAAAAAATATAATAACTTTAAGTGATAACTTTGCAATATCACACATCCTTGAAAAGTCCAGCTTGCACGAGATTCCACTTTCCTAGAATTATTAATCCTGCTTAAAAATAATGCTGGCAAAATGTATTTACAATAATTAGCCTTAAAACCATCAGTGGACACTAGTGGGGAGAAATATCTTTCAGCAAAGCTAGACTTTTATACTTTTCACTGATTAAAAAAGCTGACTTAAGATGAAAGACTTCCTATGATGGATATCTTACTGAAGCAATATTTTTATATGTAAAAAAATTATATTTAAAAACCAATTAAGAATGGGCTGATACAGTATAGAAAAACTGACAAATCTCAACAATTCTTAATACTAGGACTCAAAGAAACTGCAGAGTCTCTAATTGTGCCCAGGTGTTTGCCAGACCTGGTAAATAGTGATAAGCTTTTCACTTTGTACATCCCCCTAAAACAAGGCTGACCTCACAGTTTTTGTTTTTAAGATAATAACCATCAAATAATCTGTGACAATGAAGTGTATACAGCAATGGAGAATCTTTTGTATGTGATCAAATATTCTTCATAAAAGAACGATTACAGAATAGACAGGCTAAAAATGAAGTGAAAATGTCACCTACTATGAAATGCTAAAATGGCCCACCATTCATTGTTTGACCATATGATCAACATTTTTCTAGGACAAATTCTCTAAATCGATACAGTCCCATTAACTAAAATTCTGCTTTTTTTCTTAAGAAAGCAACCTAACCAAAATCTTCACTATAGCAAGCATCACCATCTTAAAATTTCGAAAGTAACCACAGGGCTTGTAATTAAATCCAAATGTAGACCCAAACTCTCGGACTCCTACCCTTAGCAAACGGTGTTATTAACATTCCAAATTCCGGTCAGAACAGTTACTGGTAAATAGCATCCTTGGGCAAGAAAAGGCAAGCGAGCTCTGAAACTGACCCGAGGACAGGTCCACAGGAACCGCTCCCACTTCTTCAAGAAGCCAAATAGGGAAGATTCCCAAGAAATGGACAGGGCGGAGGTAGAGGAAATTGTACAACTCGAAGGTTGAAAGCAAATGAGAAACGGACCCCGGAAAAGCCTCCCAAAGGGACATTCAGCCAGGAACAGACATTCCCCCCGGGACAGCCCCTCTCCAGCAAGACAAGTCTGGGCAACCTGTCCTCAGATCGCGGCGCGCCCGGAGAGCAGCGACGGGAGGGTGACACCGCCGCCGCCCCCTCCCGCAGTCTCGCCCGGCTCCCAGGGGTCGGCGGAGACCGCCGCTCCGAGGCCAACAAAGACCTCTTCATTCTGAGGCGAAACCCCAATAACAAAGGCCCGGAGACAGCGAGGGCCGGCGGGCTTGCGGCGGCGGCGAGGCTCCCCAGCTGCACAATGGGAGCGGCGGGACCGGCCCTGCTCCCTCGCCTCCCGGGCCCGTCCGCCCTGCCCCGCCCGCCGGAGACAAGCCGCACAAAGGCGCCTCCTCGCGCCACCGCCGCCCAGGCCTGGCCGGCCCCGCCGGCGCCGCTCGCCTGGTCCCGCGAGCCGGGAAGGGGGAGGGGGCGGCACTCACCTGGCACAGCTGCCGACAGTACTCGGCGGCCGCCTCCACGGCCGGCCCTGAGCTCTCCCGCAGCTGCCGCTCCAGCTCCTGAAGCCGCTCGCCCAGGCGCTGCAGCTCTGTCGCGCAGCCGCCGCCGCCGCGGCTCGGCCTCTCCGGATCGGCCTCCTCGTCCGCCATCTTCACACCCCGCTCCGTCGCGTACGCACCTGGGTCACGTGATAACACAATGCCACGTTCGGCGGGGTCACGTGCCAGGCGCTCGCACGCCGCGGAGCACGTACATAAGGCCCTTGGGGAGTGGGGGCGGGGCGGGAGCCGGAGGCGGAGGCTTGGGGACCCGGGCGCGCCCGCGGCCCACGGGGAGGCGCGGCCAGGAGACCGCTGTCACACGGGCGCCGCCACTGGAGGCGGCCCGGGAGGGGCTGCCGTCTGCAGCGCGGGTTGGACCCCGCTGGCCCGGCCCAGGGCTCCGACCGAGGGCAGCCGCTGCGCCCGGCGAGGGCGGTCCGGGACGACCCTGGTGGTCTGGGGCGCTGGCTGCCCTTGCCCTGGGCCTGTAAGCGGCCGGAGGAAGAGGGAGGAGGAACCCGCCCTTGAGAGCCCAAGTCAGAGCATCGAGTGTCGGACTTCTCACCAGGCGGGGCCCGAGGAGTCCAGTGCGGGAGGTGCGGCTCTGTCCCACTTGATTGTCTTCTTCAGTCCTGGGAACTCCTGTCCCCTGGAAACACATTCTCTAGGGGGTGGGGGCAACAAAAGAAAATAACAATCGGGTCAGAGCAGAATGAGGCTCAAAACTCTGTGTGGAGATCGGAGTGATTTCATGAGAAGCATAAATTTGAAAGAATTCTTAGTGTGAACAGACCGGTTGATTCTTAAAGCACTAAAGCATTTCTAGAATAACCGTGATTTAGGCTCTACTACGCAACTATATATAAAAGCTCACGAAAATAAAGTAGCTCAGAAAAAAAAAAACCAGCAATAAGGGAAGATAGGAAATTTATGCTGAAATGAAACGGGGTTGTCAAGAATGATTTTAAATATTAACAGCATTGTTTTTCCTACTGCAAATAGAGGTGGCACGCTGAACTACATTTTTCTTACAAGCTGGAAGGAATGACAAAAATCCAAGTGCTAAACCCTAAAGTTCTTAATGAAACTAACATTTTTATTACTGTTAGAACATTAGGACAAAAGAAACCTCTGTTAAACTAAATGAATGCTTAACAGAAATCGAGAAACAATGATATTGAGGCACCCGACCATTTAACTTATTCTGAGTGAAGTCTGTTTTCTAGAATAAGCAAAAAAAATTCCTATTGTGTGCAGTGCCCTTTTCAAGAGATTTCTAGTAATAATGGAAAATGTTCTAGACAGTACATTGTCAGAATGAATGTTTTGTAATGTGTCTGTGGTAGTGATGTGTTTAAAGTGGCATCATGTGAGGTGACCAGGCATAGCTTAACCCCTTTATGAAAAACAGTATCAGTATTACATATTAACAAAGCAGAATCTTCAAATGTTTACTTATGGAAACGACTGGGAAGTACATTCAAATGCTAAGGAGAAAGGATATAATAGTATCCCAGAAAGAGGAAAAGGTAATAATTAAGGCAACTACTGATTTTTAATATTTGCAGCTCATTTTCCCAAGTTAAGTATTTTAGATATCTAAGCTATTATAGGTTTCATCAGTTTATTTTATCTTAGGATTCCCGTGAAAAATATAAATGTTACAGATTCCCAAGAACAAATACCACAGATTAGCAAAGTTTATTTTCACGTCAAATATAATGGCTTATACTCCACCTCATCTATAGACTGGAAGAAAAAAAGAGGGGAAGGAAGGAGAACTATATCCAAAGAGAAATATATCTAAATATTAATTTTTAAAATTGCCTGAGAATGTAGGTCATTCTTACCTCTCTCACACACTAAAACTAAACAGAATTGATTATTAGCACATTGATTTTGAGCATGATTGCTGTCTGGTAAATGTCCATCAGCATGAACAGCCATGTCCTTCACTTTTATTTGGTGAACCCTAATTTCCATTCCTTCCCCTTTGCATATACATAGACATACGGTCTACAGGAATTGTAAGGAGTGGTGTGAATGGTGTAACTAATATTTATTTAATGTTTGCAGGCACTGCTTAGTTTGGGGGAAAAAATCAGAGGTGAATTGCAACTATCCCTGCTTTGAGAAAGCTTCCAGATTTGTAGAAAAGACCTGCAATGTCACACAATGTGACAAGTTCTATCATGCAAATGCATATACATTCAAAGCATCAATGGTGTCTAAGGTACTAACTAGAATGCCCAAAGAATCTCTACAGAAATGAAGTTTTTTATTTTTTAATTGAGAAGGTTGGAAATATTGTGCCTTGATAGGTCAACCTTGTCTTGGAGATCTCAGAAATCTCAATGTTATCCATAGAAAAGATGTATCACCAGGTACGCATGACTTCTGCCCAAGTTCATTTGTTCTTTAAATACTGAACTGTAAGCTCATAGACACCGTTACACACACACACACACACACACACACACACACACACACCCTTACTTACTGAGATGTTTTGGGGGAATTGGGAGATCTGTTCCATCGAACAAACGGGAATAAGCCCCTGAGCCAAGAGATTCCGGTCTCTGGGGAGCTCAGCGTGCGCTCCGCGAGCACCGGTGCTGGGTTTGCACACGGAGCGACTGCTGTCGGCACGGTGTAATGATATGAACCTTCAGTCCCGAGATGCTCGATTTCTGAGTAAATCTGAGAGACGGATTTTGACCCTCGCTACCCCAACCCCGCCTACAATGAAGCTGGGAGACCCTTGGGGAAGGGGCGAAGGGGCTTCCCTTCGGGCCGCGCGCGCCTGCTTCGTGGGTTCTGCTGGCTGCCCCGGCCGGCATACTACGGGGCTTGCTTTCTAGAATTCGTGAAACAGCAGATCTTAAGCACAGGGAGAGCGGTAGGCCGTGTCTGAGACAAGCGGGCGGCGCAGGGCTTGGGGGCCTGGCCAGTCCTTCACCGCCCGAGCCCGGAGCCGCCCGCAGTTCCGGCCGGCAGAGAGAAAGCTGGAGGCCGGGACAATAATTACTACGACCACGGCTCTCGCCCCGGGCCCTGGAGGCCGGCAGCAGCCACCCGGTTCCGCCCTGCCAACCCGTCCACCCGCCGCTCGGAGGGCCAGACCCCAGAGCTCGCGTCCTCAGTTGGCCCCGGCGCCGAGGATCCAGCCTCAGCGAGGCTGCGACACCCGGCTTTCATCCGGACGGCGCGCGGCCTCCGGGGCTTCCAGGCCGAGAAATTCTGTAGCCTCTCCAGGGCTCCGCGGAGCCCCGGGCCTCCGGAGACCGTCTGAAAGGGGAAGCTCGAGTCTGTCCCGCCGAGGCCGCGGCGTGGGCACCGCTGCCTGGGCGAGAACGCTCAGCTAGCGCGCTTCCGAGGGCCGTGCCCGGAGGGTCAGTCTCTGGGCACAGACGTAAGGGACAGAACCTGACCTGGATCTGGCCCAGCAGAGAAGCCACCCTCACCCCAGAGTTCTGTGCACCCAGACGCAGATAAAGCGCCTAGGGTAACGTGCTACCGGTTAAAAACACACCACATTTTCCGAAGGAAGACATTTTCCTCGAGAGAAGGTAAAAGGGTCAAATAAAATACTGAAAACATTAGGGCGGGTACTATGGAGCGTCCTGACAGCCCATGAGACAAGGGACTCAGGTTTCAGAGGATTCACTCTTACTGGAGAAAAGGTATTACGTGAATTTGTATAAGCAGGTAATTAGAAGAATTATTGTCTGGATATATTTTTCCTTCCGATATGAGGAAGAGCCAAAAGCAAAGGTGAGAGAGTAATAACATTCTGAAGAAAATGTTTTTAATAGAGCCTCAATTATCCTAACTTTTAATTTAACCAAGATGAAAATAATCATGAAATACAGCAAAATAAAAACCTTGGAAGCCATATGAGCTATCCACGGTCACTGTTGCAGAATGCTCGAGTCGGCTCCAGGCACTTCTCCAAACAAGCAAAGAGAAATACTGCGAATGCCTTCTTATCTTTCTAGGTTTTAATCATAGTGTCTTATTAAAATCCGAGAATATGACTTCTGTGCATTTTGATTTAAAAAAAATAGGACCGGGGAGATGTGATGTGCGTGAAAATGCACAGGTCTCTCCTCCCATGTTAGGAAATCAACTTCTTGGCAGTTTTGATTTCTGTGATTTGTTTTTTGTTTTTTAATTTTTGTTTGTTTGTTTGTTTTTTGGTTGTAGTGTAGTGGTGGGATCACAGCTCACAGTAACCTCCAACTCCTGGGCTCAAGGGATGGTCCCTCCTCACCCTCTTCAGTATCTTTGACTACAGGCACTAGCCCTGAAAGACTGATATGGGGGGGTTGTTTGTTTGTTTCGGGGGGAGGTGTATGGAGGGATGGGAATCTGGAGATGTTGCCTGGATTGGTCTCTTTGAACTCCTGGCCTCAAGCAATCTTTAAGTGATGCTCCCACCTTGGCCTCCCCACAGTGCTGCGATTACAGGCATGAGCCACTGAACCTGGACTGATTCCCATGATTCTTATATTCTTCAGTGTAACAATAATAATTTAATAGTATCAATTTGAGTGTAGTATTCTATTCATATATTGGGCCAGCATCATTCCTACCAAGTGCTTACCTGTTATCACATCTTTGTAAATACCTTGTCTCACTCACTATTCCTCTTCCCAAATCCTCTATAAGCAGCCCCCCCCCCCCCCCCCCCCGAAGCCTTCCGTGGTTGGCTCTGGTGGGGTAAAATCCAGGTATAACCTCTGTAAAGAACGATTTGGTTCAATGGTTCTGCTTTCTCTTAGGTTCCCCCCCACCCACCTTCCAAATAGTCACTCTTGAAGTTCATTGTATAGTCTCGATTTACTACTTACTATATTTTTATTTGGAACCTGTCATTTTACCTTGTCTATAGATGAGCCTCATTCATAAGCCTCTATTTCCTTTGAGGGTAAAGACTACCTTGAATGCAGCCTACCTTCTCTGATACCCTTTGGCAAGTTGCAGTGTAATAAATAGTTATCAAATACCCATTGAACTAAATTCAATTCTGTTTATATTTGGTAGTCATAAATTGATTTTGAGTTATCTTTACCATTATTTAAAATGTCCTAGACTCTACAAAGAGATAAGGTGCCATCTAAACCTTAGGACCTTATTTATAGT